AGAGTGTTAGCGCCCTCTACAGCACCGGAGAGCTACTCCTCTACATACAGTGCAGAACTATATCTGAACAAGTTCAAATGCTGTTTAAAAACCCATTACATCATGTTTTCTATTACACAGAAAACAGATCCAACCTACAGGAAATAATATGGAATGGTCTTAAAATGTTTCACAATACTTCTGCAATGCCGCTACTGAGTACATTTGTCACTAAAGGCGTTTAAAAGTGTTTTAAGATATTTATTTTAGAGAAAGTTCATTCTGAGTTAATCAAAACCATTTAATGCTGTAAAACACAACTTATTTATATCCAGAATAACTTGGTTGCCCTGATTGGTTTAGTGTTTACAGTAGAAATGATTTATTTTGAAGGACTGAAGTTGTAGTGATTCATTCTCACCAGCAGGTGCCACTAAAATGCTTTGAAAGGCATTCTTAGTATTTCAAGTTTTTAGGATCTTACTAAGTATACAGTAGTATTCAGTATATATGTTGTATCTTAATATTTAGGGTTAGGGTTCATAGATGTTAATAATATAAATATAATTTATGAAGAAAAATATTTAAAGGTATTTAAAAATGTAAAAAAAAAAATTACAAATATTAAATAAATTATATTCATTTTCAGTTTAACAGGACAGTACATGCACAGTAAGATCATGCCAAAATTAGGTTTATAAAAGTTATGTTTAAATGATTTAAATGATAAAGAAACATTTAAAAAAATATATTAAAAATGAATTAATAAAGCAATTAAATCAAATTAATTTTGATTTGAATTTTTCAATTAAATTCAGGACAGTACATGTATAGATAATGCCAGCATTCACAAGTCTGAAAATACCAAAATACAGCAAAACTTCTTTAAAAGACTTAGAAAAATGCTACCAAAAATCTACCAATTATGTTTGTGAGTGTTAAGGTTAGGCTGTAGTAATTATAATTAAATTAAGCACAAAAGATTCAATAATAGGTCCAAATGTTTTAAACAAATGCTTCCAAAACCATCTTAATAAAATTTGTGTTTGTCTGCAATCTTTAACTGGCCTAATGGCTTAATTAAGCAGAATGTAAGTCAGTGAGAGGTTCATCATGATGCGTGTTTGGAGTTTCTTAACAGGAAGTTTGCGTCTGTCGTTTCTTGATCTAACTTTTATGTAATGAAATTATGGTCAGTACTCATAAGTGTGGGAAGTTGTTTAATGATCAGAGTTTGTCCACTCAGCAGACTGTGTGTGGACTCAGATTGCCATGTGATTCAATTTGACGTCGTTCTCTCGCTTCCACCTGCACTTCATCATATCCTCTCAGTTCAGTTCATGTGTATCTCCTGACTCTATCAAAGAGATGAGAGCTTTTCCACGGTCTCGTGTAGTTTTATGATGACCTGAATGCAAATTGACAAGATCTGATTGTGGACTTTCAGAGGAAACAGAAGGAAATACAGCCTCCATTAAGATCAGTGAGACCCCTGTGGTCAATGGTAAAGAGTTTGTTTACAATGCTATACTAACATACTGTTTTTCTGCGGTATGCAGCATGTGTATCATGCATAGTATGTGCATTTTCTCAAGTCAAAATAACCATGTTAATTTCTGAGATTTAGATAAAAAAATCCAAAATAAATGATATGAATAAAATAAATTATATAAATTTTCAGTTTAACAAGACAGTATATGCATGGTAAGATAATGTCAAATTTCAGTTTATAGTTAATAGTATAAATATACTAGTTATATTTATACTATAATATATTAGTAAAATATTTTTTATAAAATTCAATTATATTACATTTTTTATTTAACGAGACAATAAATGTACTTTTAAAAATGTCAAATAGGTTTATAAGTTAATAGTATAGATATAAATTATGTAAGTAATAATTAAAATATTTTTTAATGCTAAAAGAATACAAAATTAATTTTCACTTCAAGACAATACATGCATGGTAAGGTAATGTCAAAATTAGGTTTAAAGAAGTTAAACGTAGGAATTACCTAACTTTACTGTGAACATATTTTTTTTGGCCAAGAGAATGCCTGTATTTTACGTTTATGTATGTATGTATGTAAGTAAAGTTATGAGTCCGACATTTCCAGAACATCTTTTTTTCATCAAATCATGTGCTTTTCTATTTTAGTACATGCATTATTATGGTGTTTATCATTAAATGATTATATTTAGAGCAGATTTTAGTAGTTCAGGTATGTTGATATATTAACATTACATTAATTAATGATATATACCGGTATGAAATCTATATAGGCACTACTTAACCTGTCATCCCATAATGCCTGAAATGTTGTGACCATATTTTTTTACAGTGATTTTTCTGACAACCACAGCTGACTTTGTGAATTATTTTTTACAGTCATATCATTTTGTACATAATTTCTGTATATTTTGTATATTTCTCAATGCATTATCTAATGTTTGTGTATCTATCTTTCTCTTATTCACAGTAACGCTATATCTCATAGATACGAACATTTGTCTTCCCTATTGGACACGTGACAAACAAACTTTGAAACTTAAAAGCATCAGTCGGCTCTCAAACGCTAATTCTAACTGTATAGATGGCTAAAGAGTCGTTAATAATGCAGAGCTTTAAAGGTAGATGGTGGTTGGTTGTTAAGAGGTTATCATCAATGTTTTAGAGCTCTAATGAGGATGAGGATGATGATGTTCTGAAGAAAGTGATACCTGGAACACCACGCCTAATGTAAAGCTGTGCGATTACATAAGAGCACTGAAGAAACAGGGCCATGTGACATCACTGTTACAGATAACATGCTTTGATTGGTTGACCATACACTCATTCCAGCACAGAGGAATCCATTAGTAATATTCCCAGTTGTGGTGTTTTTACCAGCTCATTTTCTTTAACATGAAGTGTGTAAATCTTGCTGTCAGGATCCTAGAATGTCGTATGTTCAGAGTCAGGGATATTTCAGTATTGTTGCCATACTTTTATAGTATTTATTAATATTTTTATGTTTTTATATTTTCCATTTTCATTTTAATTTTAGTTAGTTTTAATTTTGTTGTTTTTTGTGATTTTTATGGGTTTTTTAATATGTCTGTATAGTTTTTCATTTGATCAATTAAAATGTTAGTTTTAGTCATTTTAGTACATCAAGCTAAAAGAAATGAAAATAAGAAATGTTGCTTTAGCAACTAGCTGAAATAAAATGTTAATATTTTATTTTATTTCAGTTAATGATTATTTCAGGTAATGAAAATGTTTCTTTTATGATTCTAGCTAACTATAACAACCCTGTTCTGTGTGCTGCTATGTGGTTACTATAGGGTCGTTGCTGGGGTGTTTACTTGCTTAGATTTTTTTTTTAATGATTTTAGTTTTGTATTAACACTTAAACATCTTGCATAAATTTTCAGTCTGGTTTCAGACATTTGCATAGCACTGAATCTGCATTATTATCCTACTGATTATATCTTACTGTCCATGGATTCAGATTCCCCTGTCGTCTTAGTTTTAAAAGATCTCAGAGCCCGATTCAATGCAATTGACCATAAGAAACTGCCCTCCATTGGTTTTTCTTTTAAAGAATGGGTTCTCTGTAAATTTGGGGAACTTTTCCCTCTACTGCAGCTCAATTACAGTTTGGTGTCCCCCAAGGGTAAATTTTAGGCCCCTTTTAATTTCATTGCACATGCTTCCCCTGAGCCTTATTTTTCCAGAAATATAGCATATCTTATCTTACCTGGCCTGGCTGCTCAGTTAGGTCCTCTGTGGTCGAATGTAAAAGATCATGTGAGGGGTCTGAGAGTGATTTTCAAATCACTACTACTTTTCAATAAGCAGATCAGTGCTGTTGATAAGGGTAGCTTTTATCACCTGAGTTCTATCACTAAAATAAAACATTTTCTTTCTAATAAAGACTTGGAAATAATGATCCACTCAATTATTTCATAAAGGTTAGACTATTGCAATTCGTTATATATTGGTCTTGCCCTTTCTGCGTTGTCCCATTTACAGCTTGTCCAAAACATGGCAGCCAGGCTGCTAAAGGGGTAAAGAAAGAGTGATGACATCTTAGCATCTCTACACTGGCTCCTCATGAAATTCAGATAAGGTGCTGCTAGGATGTTTACTTGCCTATTTTATTTGGGTTAGCTTTTTTTTTTTTTGCAACAGTTTTTTTAATGCTTAATGTTAACTATAATAACACTGTTCTGATGTTGCTAGGCAGTTGCAAGGGTATTTAAAGGCCCAAATCAAAAGAACTCATACCAAGTGTCTATGAGACTTAGCTTTAGCAAACACTACTATCATTACTTGTTTTGCACTGATATCTGGAAGCCTAACTGTAATTTCATTTCAGATTCATCTAGTTCTAAATCAGCTGTGATTCAGGCAAATTCTTAAGCTTCTATAAATGGTTCTTAATTGATGTTGTAAGTCAGATGCTCTGCACGTGGATCTATGCCAGTCACAAATACTGCAGTTGTATTATATATTCCTGTGACTGTAGAAAATTCGTTTACGGTCGATGCTAAGCAAAAGAGCGTAACATCCCCTGGCGTCGTTTTATGATCAAAACATCAATCAGCATGCAGTTTGGTTTTCTGATGGACAATCAACCAAACGTTTGCTGGGCATTTAACGAGACCTGCGTAATCAATCACGTTTATGTTTCTGCATAATTAAAATGTCGGTGGATATTGGAGATGATCTCCACCCATGTTCTGGGCTGGACCGGCATCAGAAAAGACATTTCTTTTGGTTTAACTCGTTCTCTCTGATGAATTATTGATAGAAAGTGAATGTTTCCTGACATCTGTTCGTCATGGAGTCTCCACCCTCAAAGAACAATCGTAAAAACTATAGATATTGATCAATCGCTTCCTTTCGCTCAGTATTGATTAGCTGCAAGCCACTTAGGCGTGATTGTTGATCCTTTGCTTTACTGAAAAGACTTCGAAGGAGGAGAGACGTTTTGTCAAACTGGTTTGTTGAGTGAATATTGTGAAATTCTCTGGAGATCAAAATGTCTGTTTAGTGTTGAGTATATCATTGCATAATATAAGTTAACATTTTTGGAACTTTTATGAAGCTTTGATTCATGTACACTACACTTAAGTATTTTTTTTTGTAAAGAAATGAATCCTTTTATTTAGCAAGGAAGCATTAAATTCATCAAAAGTGACAGTAAAGACATTTATAATGTTACAAAGATTTCTATTTCAAATAAATGCTGTTCTTTTGAACTTTCTATTTATCAAAGAATCACAGTTTCCACAAAAATATTCAGCAGCACAACTGTTCAGAAATGTTTCTTGTGCTAGTAAATCAGCATATTAGAATGATTTCTGAAGGATCATGTGACACTGAAGACTGGAGTAATGATGCTAAAAAAAATTCAGCTTTGTATCACAAGAATAAATTACATTTTAACATATATTCAAAAATAGAAAGCAGTTATATTAAATTGTAATAATATTTCAAAATATGACTGCATTTTACTGTATTTTTATTTGAATAATGTAACATTTCTGAATAATGTAACATTTGTTGATGACTTGTATCAAAAATGGATTTAGTTTGTTTCCGTACAGTTCATATGATTTGAACAAGAAGACCCTTTTCAGGTAAACACTTTTATATTTGCCAATACACACGATTATGATTCTATCTGAACTAAAAAGTGATTGGATTCAGTGTTTTTCTTCATTCTTCCTACAGTAAGGGTGTCTGGAGTTTGTAGAGCCGGTTTCCTGAACACTGTCAGTGAGGATTTTCCACAGAAAGCATGTTTAAAATTGTAAAAGCAGCTTGTTGATGTTTGCTTCATCTTCAGCATGAAGGTACTGCTGGTTTAAATATTTATGCTTAATATTTCATCTCTAATTGTCTGCATCTGTGTGTATATGTGAGGGCTAATATATGTGCATGCAGACCACTAAGTATAAGGATTATAGACATTATTCTATTATTAGCTACTTATGAGAGCCAAGGAATTAAACATCCAGGAAGTTTGATCCGGTGTAAGTGCTTTGTGTTAAAATTTTGATGCCATCCTGACGCCCAGAGTTGATGTGCAGTTTTTAAAGAGCATGAGAGACCTGCTCTCAGATCTCCTATAATCAACATCATTAATGAATAAACACAATGTCAGACAAATGGATTATTGATGCCTCACCTGCAGCATTAGATCACATATCCACTGCTAACCTGCATGTGAAGGGAACAGCAGGGCTTTAATAGTTGTTGAAGATCTCTGCTGAAGATCAGGGAAGCAAACTAGCTGCAAACAAAAGCTTCTTTACTAGACCTTTGGTTATAAAACAACATGGATGGTTAGTACAGTGTTAAAAAAATTGTTTTAAGAGAGAAGCAACCAACAGAAAGATGGTTATTTTAAAGCAACTAACATTTTGTCTGATGTTATTATGATCGATACAATCAATTTATGATTTATGAATAATTTGAGCACATTTTTATGATTTTAAAATTTAAGTCTTTTAATAATAACTTTTTTTTGTCCAAACGGGAGCTTCAGTTGTTATCTAGCCCACTTATCTGTTACTTATTCATTTCTGTCCAGCTTTGGGTCTTTTAAAGTCTTCATAAACCTGAAAGTCATTATTAATTCAAATAATTTCTTTATTTTACTGCTTGTTTTCACTAATTCACATATTTTAATCAGTGTCATTCACTGACATTTGATTAGTGACCTACTGTAGAAACAGAACACAGTCTATTGAAATATGTTTCTTCTTGTTTTTTTTTTACTCTAGGTTCGGGCCATTCCCGAGCTCAGAGCCCTTCCCCGGACAGCACGCCAAATATGCATTACCATACTTCAGCAAATTATATGTAAGCGTGAACTCGTGAAATATATGTTCGTTGAAAATTATGTTTTAATTTAGGTCACTTATAATGATTGAAGTGAGCAAATCCAGCCACATCATGAATAAATCTGAGTAAACTGTAATTGTCAAATCAGTTCTTTTCATGCATGACTTTTCATGCATTTCACAATGTGATGCAAAAGTGGAAAAGTGATTTTATTTAAGATTAGTCTTTGCTGAAAAGAGCAGCATTTATTTGAAATGGGAATGTTTGTTACATTATAAATGTCTTCAGTGTCACTTTTGATCAATTTAATGCCTCCTTGCAGAAGAAAAGTATTAATAAAAAAAAAACTTACCAACCCTATACTTGTGATGCTCTGACAATCAAATTTGAGGACTGATTTTTAAACTGAAAAATTGATATGTGTTACCCTTTTTTTTCTTAAGTTGAAAAATTCTCCTCGGTTCCATTCTGTCTTTAACTTTTTAACCTTTTTGGGGTGAAATGATATGCGTCAAATGATTGTATATAGGCCTATATGGCTATCAATCCATTTATGCGACTGGCTTATATTATTTCCCAGTTGACTTAGTCAGCTAAAGAAAAGAGTACATGACTGTGATAAAATCTTTTCTAGAAGCCCCGTTGTTGTAATGGTGATGAGTTCCTAGTAAAACAGCAGTCAAATGGAGCGTCCCTCAGGGTTCGCAGGCCCCGCCCCCCGCGGCCGCTGATTGGACCGGCTCTCCATCACTCAGGAAAGGGCGTTTGTCATTGACCGGAATGCCTGTGGCTTTTCAGAGCAGCTGTGTGGAGATGGAAGCGAGGAAGTCATCAAGCCCACCTTCTACATGAGTGACTTTAGGTGATTAAGGGACGGTTTATTTAGCCTTAAAGAACTTGAATCAGTTTCATTCGCTTTGGTCCACAGGATACGAAGTGATTTTGATATCTTTTCCAGGATTCACGCGGTTTTTCGGACGCATTCCGTGTGCGCTCTGGCGCAGAGGCGCCGCTGGAGAGCCTGATGCGCGCTGGAGAAAACCGGGACTTTGCGCAAACGAATGCCACATCTTCACATCATCATGAGTTAGATTAAACACTTCCACCCACTCGAGACACACATAAAGCACTTTTTTAGACAAAGGGAGTCCTTAACTGGAAGATTTCATTCAGGACGCATGGAGGATCCGGTGTAAAGGCGCTCGAAGGATGCTGTCCCGTCCCGGGTTCAGGACATCTGGCTGCTGGATGCTGCAGTTTGTCCTTCACATCTGAGAGCGATGGCTTCTGAGGTGGTGTGTGGTCTGATCTTCAGAGTGCTGTTGCCAGTGTGTCTGGCGGCAGGTAAGCGTTGATTTGATCCCGTTCAGGGTTTCGCATCTTCAGTGTGGAGATGCGCAGTTTCTGCGTTACGCGGCAGGTGCGGATCATCGTGAAGCTCTTGATCTGTCAAATACTGTTTGAATTTAAGTAGAATGTAGATACGAAGTCACACGTTTATATAAACTGACTTTTGATAAAGAATTTAGAAGTTTGTGTGCGCAGGAGGGCGCACTGCTCATCGTTATCACTGTAGTATATTTGTCATTTCGTAATTTTCCCGTATTCTTCCATTTACAAACTCGTATAAATTACATATATTTGATTAGTCTTTGAACTCTGGGTTCAAATATTTACAAGAATAAATATTTACAATTGCTGATAAAACAATTGTCACATTGCTAGTAAATTTCGCAAGGAAACAGCAAGTAACACATTGTGAAATTTCGAAGTAGAAAAACTGAAGTAGTATTTTCTTTCTAATACGTACTCCATTAATCTTTGTCTTATTCATAACTTCGAAATATCACTTATTTATTTATTTTTTTGCACTGAAGGATAAACCGGGGCTAGTTGTCACACTTTGAATTCTATCGTGTATTTTTACAGAAAAGTCCTTAAAGAGACAATAATAGATTTGAAGTGTGTTGTGGAAAATATATTGTAAATTGTAGTGTGCATTTTTTTTATTCATTAATTTAATTTTGAATTTCTGTGACAAAACAAGAAGACATTTTCAACAACAGCTGTATTTAAAATCTATTTTTGAGGGCTTTTCTGTAAAATATACATATATATCACATACTGATAAAAAATGTATAGCCTGAATGCACTGTAAGTCACTTTGGATAAAAGCGTCTGCTAAATGCATAAATTTAATTTAATTTAAAATTTAAAATATAAACAGTAAACTGATTATGAAACACAAAACAATTCATGAAACAAAGCTTAAAAGGTTTTAAGGCATTGCTTGGTTCAGAAATTGTAATTAATGTGAAAAAAAAAAAGTTATTTTTGAGGATAAGATTCACAAAATATCTTAATTTTTGGAAGTGTTTGAAACAAACGTACACAACCACTGCTACCAAAAAACTAATTTGTATAATTGGACTTTTGGGACTCAAAACCTGAAACGGTCTAATGTACATTTCCATTTTCCACTGCATTATTTTATTTACTTTATTTCACTGAAGTGACATTTTAGAGAGAAATAGCAAAATATAACATTTTGCAAATATCACAATAATGAACACATTTTTTATTTTGCTATTAAATGTTTTATTGTGTTTAATAACATGCATCCGTCATGTTTTAAGACAGTAATACCATTTTTGTCAGACAGCTTTATGCCTGGACTTTGTTTTAATGTCATCTAATGTAAAACATGCATGCTAAATGATTGTAATCTATATTTTCCTGTGGTTTTCCTTGTGGCTGGTTAATTATTCTGTGGGGTGTATCTGATAACGAGTGTTTGATCACAGGGGATGAGTTGATGTCATAGATTATTGACAGAGTAATTCATGAAACCCCTCCAAGTGTTTTAAGGAGACATTCGACACCACTGACATCTGCATAAAACAATGATTTATTTTTATTTATTTATTTTTTAATTCTGTATGATTCCATTCAGGCCTGACCATTTATAGTAATAATTAATAACACATTTTCTCTTTTTTTTCTCTATTTGTGACATTATTAAACACTTGCTCTGTTCCCATCTGTATATTCTTGACAGCTGGGACTTATGCATTATTGTAAATTGCAATTCTAATAAACAAATATCAGTACTAATAAAAAATAAATAAAGTGTATTATTAGTGTATCGAGCAGGTTTAGTAATTTTAGTATCAAGTGAAATTAGTCTCGTCTAAATAGCTGAAATAAAATAAAATACATATTTTATACTTGTTTCAAGTAATGCTTTTTATGGTTTTAGTTAAGTATAATAACCCTGAGTCATTTTTGCCATTTTTACTTTTTTTATTTTTTATTATTATAAATGTTTTTCAGTTTTAGTTATTTTCATACATCAAGTGAAATGAAAACAAAAAATTAGAATTTTTTTCATCTTAAGTGATACTTTTTATGGTTTTAGTTAACTATAATAACCCTGGGTCATTTAGTCATTTTATTTTTTAATGTCTATAGTGTTTGTACATTTTTTTTTTTCAGTTTTACTTATTGTAGTACATTAAGTTAAATGAAAATAGAAATATTGCCTTGGCAACTAGCTGGAATAAAAGAAGTTTTTTTTTTTCAAGAAATTATAGCAATTTTGTTGTATGTAGAGCCACCTGTACAATAGTGCCGGGTTTAGTTTTTGACAGTTATACGATTATGGTTCATTTACACTCAACAACAATTTTGAAAGCCTATCTCCGATTTTTTTTTATACTGTTGGTACTTACTGTTGCTTTTACAATCATGAAATGAATCTAGAAGCTTTGCAGTCTCTGTTTAAGGGTCTTAATCAGATCGGTGGTTGCCCACAATTAATCCATATTCACATTTCCTCTTATTTCTATATAATTAACCCTCAGAAATGCACACACACACTTTCTGCTTGTCTCTCAGTAGGATTCCTCCTATAGGTAGATAAGGTCCACTCTATAAGATGGTAATTTATCTGTTGACAGCCTAAGTCCTTTCGGCCTTCTTTCCTCCAAACGCAATTGCCAAGCCGTGGAGCATCTCCATTAATCGGTGGAAAGTCGTTTTAACCGCATGAATTAATAATGTGGCATCAGTGGAGAGAAGAATTGGCTGCCCATTATCGTAAACACACCTTTAATATTTGATGATTTTATTTTTTGGGTTGAAGTAGTACTGCGCAAAGGTCATCCGCTCAGGACGGACAGGGGCGCTGAATGTTCATGTTGAGACGTGAGCAGGTTTTGAGACGTTTGAGAGACTGTGTTGTTATAGTGTTATTGGACTTTGTCAGCTTCTGACGGATGTCTGTCTGTATGAAAGAGTAATCACAAAGGAGATGTTTCTTCTAGACAGCAGCAAGATTAAATGGAGAGCAGATTGAGTCTCAGATGCTTATGTTTCTCTTGATTAGAGGTGTTTGAGGAATCTAATTCGTACAAGAGTATTTTTGTTAAAGCACTTATATTAATTTATCTGTACAGAAATGTGTTATTTCAGCTGCAAATGAATGAGTAGTTGATTTTATCACAATAGCCTCATTTTAACACACGTAATATAAAATATTGTGGGCATTCTTTCAAAAACAGTGTGTTTTAATGTTTATGCATTTGTGTTGCCCAACCTCTTAGACTTTCACTTTAATATCATTATAGTAAAATACACATTTTGTTTTTCTGAATTGAGGGATGAGCGTAATTTTAGTGTAATTGAAATACGATTATAGTATTTTATTAATATTTTGAATTAGTTTTTATTTTTATATTTTTTAAATGTTAGTCATTTTGTTGTGCTCTTGAAATTTGTATTCATTTTTTTTTATGTCTGTTGTTTGTATTTATTTTTTTTATTTCCGTTTTAGTTATTTTAGTACAGCAAGTTAAATTAAAATAAAAATGAAAAATGTTGCCTTGCCTCCTAGCTGAAATAAAATTTATTTTAAACATATTTTATTTTAAGTAATGAAAGTTGTTGTTGTTGTTATTATTATTTTGTGTGTTTTTGTCATTATTTATTTTTTAATGTGGCTATATAGTTTTTATTCATTTTTATTTCAGTTTTAGTTTTATAAACTAAAGTGGTATTTTAGTACAAGTTCAATTAAAATGACATTTTTTAGTTAGCTATAATAACCCTGGGGCATTTAGTAGTTTTGTTGTGTGTTTTTGTAATTTTATTATTATTATTTTAATATGCCAATGTCATTTTTAGTTATTTTAGTACATCAAGTTAAATTAAAATGATAAGAAATGTTAAAAACAAAATATAAAATGTGTCCTTTTTAAATATTTTATTTTAGTTAAAGTTTATTTTATTTTAAATAATGAAAGTTTCTTATTTATTTTTATTTTATTACATTTTAATGGTTTTCGTTAACTATAATAACACTGAGTTTATTTCTGTTGTTCCTCCAGAAGCGTCTGTGGTTTAATTGTGAAAATGTAAAGTGTTCTTCACCTGCTGTCAGTCTGAGCTCTTCTGAAAAGGCTTTCAGTTCTTCAGAAACATCAATTATTTGTAAGCTGGATGATGGTTTGAGCGCGGTCAGTGTGGTTTCGCTTCTGTCTCTGAAGGAAAGAGGTGACTGAAGCTTTGAGAAGGAATTAAGCTGTGATTCTGGTGTAGCCGCATTTTTATTATCATCTCAAGTTAACCGTCCATGTCAGAACTAGAAGTGTCATGTTAAAAGGAAAAGATGGGATTAGATGTATTTGTATGTGCGGTGCAGTGCTGTATGTGATGAATTAGGAAAGAGAGGGAACCATAAATGTCCAACTATTGGTAAAAATACAATATTTGACACAATCTCTCTTTCTGAAGTGTGTTTGGGTGATGTTTCGACTTGACTGTTTCAGAAGAAGCTTCAGATTTCGGCCCGAGGATGGTGGATTAAAGTGGTGTGTTTTGCTCTGTCTTCACAGCGCTGAATGTGTGTGCTGTATTCTGTAAGATGGCCTCCATCTCTGTGTTTAGTGCTCCTACACTTATCTCTCTCTCGCACCGGTGTGCTGCCGTCAAACTCCACCAGCGGCACAGCTGTTTTTCTGTCAAAGGCCTCTGTTTAACACACTTCAAAAATGATCTGACCTCTGTTGCACAAAGTGGATTAATCAAATGCATGACTCTGTATACCATTAATTTTTAGGATGTACTAAATCCTACAAAATAATAAAAACTGTAGAGTTATATTTAAAGAATAAAAATGATTAAAAATGGCAATAACGGCCAACAAAATTACTGAACGTTTCACTAGAATTAAAAAAAATACACTGAAAAAAAGGTAAGTGGTTGCAAACAATTTATTTTAGCTACATTTAAATAAACAAATTTAGTTGAAAGTTACTCAAGTAAATTTGTTTATTTTAAATGTAGCTAAAATAAATTGATTGCAACCACTTGCCTTAAAACAATTGAGTAAATTCAATTAATAATTTTTTTCAGTGTATATATAAAAAATTTATTCAAAACTATTAATGAAAAATAAAATAGCATGTTGATATTAAAATTACACTGACTCTCTTTTTAATAATTCATTAAATAGTTTATGTTTTTACAACAGGGTTGCTATACAGGTTTCTTTAGTTAATATTGAAAAGTTTCCATAACTTTTCAATATTAACTAAAGAACCCTGTATATATATATATATATGTATGTATGTGTGTGTGCCTGCATTATTATGGTGGTTGTCAGTATGTTAAACGTACAAAACAGATTTTAATAGCAGTGTGCATTGTTGAATTTACTGGTTTACATTCAAATTTTCTTGTTTGTAAATTACAGTTTTGTACTGTAAAATTTACAGTTTTTGGCCGTAAATGTGTTTACAGTTTTTCTGTATTTTTTACAAAATTATTCTGGCAACCACAGCTGCCAAAATTATTTTGTAAAAACTACAGAATTTATTTTACAGTGTGTTTATAATTTTCTATTTACATATGCATTTGGCAAATGTTTTTATCAAGAATAAATTGCATTGCATTCTGTTCATACAGTTTTTGTAATAAATAACACTTAAAACAGTTTAAACATTATTAAACATACAGTATTTTTGTTTGTGATTCTGCTTGTAATATATGTAAACAATAGGTTCCCATAAGTATTACATAATATAGTTTGGATGAAGTATTTGGTGTTTCCTCAGAAGTACTAAAACACTCGTTAATGGAATCATTAAGGCACTGGAATCGTTAACTGGCTCAGAATCGCAGCCAGAATCATTAAATTCCTTACGATTCCCATCCATATTCAGCACTAACTAGAGCACGTCTCCTAAGAGCCGTTAGACAAAACATCATTTTTATGTGAACATATTGAGATCACGATAAAATGATGCATTATAATGTCGGTCTGGGTTTGTACTGGGTTTTAATTAGATTTTAATATCAGCTTTCCATATTGTGCTCCAGTTTGCCAATGTGGTTCAATATTTAAGAGTCTTAAATTGCAGTGGAAAGTCCCTGTGGCCGTGATATCTGCACTTTAACTTCACTCTTTTATTGTCATTCTTGCTTTTTCTGTCAGAAATGTTTTTGTATAGTAAAGAATAGAGATATATTGGCTGTTGAACAATCTTAAAGCATCACTATGTAACTTTTGGCTCTCTAGCGCTTAATAAACAGAACTGCACACATCCCGCGGAAGAACATTCCAACCGGAGCTACTTCTCTAAGTTTATGTCTCAGTCGATTCACGCAGGTATGTGTTACTCCGCAGCGGTGACCAGGCTACAATAGTCCAAATATAAGTACTTGTTATAAGTGTACCGTAGTGATTCGGAATAAGACAAAAACGCAGTTTGGAAGATTAATTCATGATGTACTCGCTCATTATATACATTTTGCAAATTTTGAACACAGAAAAAGTTACATAGTGCTGCTTTAAACAGTATAATAGGTATTTTGGCAGTTTGTAAATGGTGATGTAATCATATTTTTGTCATCATTGGCCTCATTTCCAGAAAATAGGATGTAATTTCTGTCTGGTTCAGATGAGGTCTGCCGCTGAGCTCCATGTTTGTTAGTGAAATGAATGTATGATATTCACAGCATCAGCTCATAAAATGACAAACGCGCAAGATTAACAACAAGATGTTCAAATGCCATTACTCTCATCTAACTATTAACCTCGAGCGTGTCCCAACGGTTTTTATTTAGTCTTCTGAGCTTCTTTCTGTCCAGTGAGGAATAAAATTCATGGAAAGAGAGAATGAGAGCAAATAGACTGGAAACCTTAGGAAACTCTCCAAGTGTGTGTGTGTGTGTGTGTGTGTGTGTGTGTGGGGCACTGAATGATTTGTCAGATGCACAGACGGAGACTAAAGGTCTGCAAGGACGTTCATTTAAAGCCAATGTGTGATGGAATATAACTCTAGATTCCTCTAACATGTCAATATGTTCTCTCCGCAGCATGTCTGTTCAGGTACAATGGACTGTCCTTCATCTACCTCCTCTACCTCCTCCTCATCCCTCTGTTTCCCGAACCCTCCAGCATAACCATGCAAGGTGAGATTCAACACTGCAGCAGCACTAACTCTTCCCTAAGTGTCACAAATCCCACGCAGGAAGCGCATCCGTCACCTCCTGAAACCAGCTTTAGTGCCTCATGCAGAAAATCCAATGGAGCAGAAGCATTAACAAAACATTAATTGAGGCAACTACAGTCAGGAGACCCTGTAGATGGTGAGGAGGAACTTACTCATGCGCTTGCAGGAAGATCAAGATTTAGGATGCAGTGAAGGTGTGCTGATCATGCTGAATATTTGATGAGAACATTATGATAAATCTGTGTTAATCCGCCGAGGCGAGGAAGATTTAAGTTTTAGAGAAACTGATCGGTGTGATTTTTATTCCCTTAATAGAGTTGAGCTGTTGGCTTTGATGAGGCCAATATAAATGACAACATATTTAAATGTTTCTCTCACAGTCTTTCAAAGATCAAACCATTATTTAAATGTCACGGCATAATGTGCAGGGACTAATTTTATGCATCAATTATGTTACTGTCAATTTAATTAAAGCCACACTACCATTTAAAAGTTTGGGGTAATGCTGCATTTACTTGATTAAAAATACAGTAAAAACACAAATATTTTGAAATATTATTACAATTTAAAATAACTGTTTTCTACTTGAATATATGTTCAAATGTAATTTATTCCTGTGATGTGCAGCTGAATTTTCAGCATCATTACTCCAGTCTTCAGTGTCACATGATCCTTCAGAAATCATTCTAATATGCTGCTTTACTGCTCAAGAAACATTTCTGATTATTATCAGTGTTGAAAACTGTTGTGCTGCTTCATATTTTTGTGGAAACCGTGATACATTTTATTTTTCAGGATTAGTTGATGAATAGAAAGTTCAAAATAACAGCATTTATTTGAAATCGAAATCGTTTGTAACATTATAAATGTCTTGATCAATTTAATGCATCTTTGTTGAAGAAAGTATTAATTTCTCTAAAAAAAAAATCGTACTCTTTGAACAGTAGTGCATTTCAAATATTATCTAAATATTATCTCATTAGAGTGAATAATGACGTTGTTTTCTGAACATCTGATCCATTTCTGCTCTGTTCATGGCAGCAGTTTTGTGGAGGTGTGTTCGGATGTTTGTTTTCTGATTGTTAATTATGTATAAGAGTAGGTTTTCATGGAATAAGATGAAAGAGGAAGAGGACATGGACATTTTTAAATGGCCCACTTACACTCATCAATAGTTAAGCAGACCTGTACTCATAGTAAGAGCAATGCATTCTGGGCTTCGCACAGATTTATCAAACGCTCATTTGGATCCTAGTTTTGGGAATATGCAGATGTGAAACGTAGACTATAAAGAAACAATATAATGGATGCTAGTGTTTTGCAACGTTTTTGGGTTATGTAATTGCAAAACTGAAACGCCTGCAGGTGTCTGTGCATCATAATCAGCTGCTGTGTTTCAGTCAACATACAACAAGGTGGAAAAAGAGGTGTGTGCAAAAACATACAGATTCACACATGCACTTCTGTACTTTTGCTTTGTTTAACTCTGTCTCACTCTGGTCCAAAAATAATAATCATTTCATTGTCTTGTTAAATTGAGTTCACTTTTGCATCCTGGTCACATTACATTTCACATTTTAAGTGCAAGGGAAGTTATTTTTAGGTCTAAAGTATGCATAGAAAACTATAAAATTATTAATTTAATATACTTTTTTTATACTGTAATAAATGAATATATAATTTATATATTATAATGACATTTGATTTAATTATATATCTTTAATTATATATGTGCATTAAAAAAAAAAAATAATAATAATAATAATAATAATAAAAAATAAAAAATAAAAAAAGAGATAATGAGTTGAGTCGGGAAAACTGGAGCTCGCGTTGGTTTCATACCGATTACTTTAACAGAGAATATTTGTAAAATAAAAAATTATATATATATATATATATATATATATATATACATACATGTATATATATAGAGAGAGAGAGCAAATTAATGTAGAAAAACATGAAGATGATATATTTTAAATATTTGTTTAATGCCATTGTTTGTAAGTACTATGAATAGTATATAGTATCATACTGATACTAATGAAACTTTTAATACATTTTTGGGGATAAAATTAGTAATTATAGACCTTTATCGTTACAGTAAAATTTGTGCCATCATTTTAACATTTAAAAGGCCCAGATAGTTACAAAATATATATAAAAAAATGATAGCTTTTAATTTAGGTGAGCTTAAAATAATCATTGCATAAACCTATTATAATAAATGTCATATTTATCTGTGCCTTTAATATGATTGTATATAGTGCATATATTAATATAGTGATGTCTCTGTCAATATCAGCTTTCTGATAAGATATATTTTCCCCCCAAAAGTTTACGTTGCACATTCATTTTTTACAATAAATAAGAAAATTATTGTTTAAAAAAAGACATTAGAAGAGCTACTTCATAGAAGTGAAAAACAGATGCTGTGTAATATATATATATATATATATATATATATATATATATATATATTTTGA